GATTACATTATTATGGAACAGTGTCGGTGCTCTAAATGTCTGTGCTTTGCCTGTTTGTCCCTCCCTCTCTGTACACTGGAATCCCCTGATTTTTACTGTTTCTGTTATTTTGCCTCTTTCAAGACACCAAGTGCTGCATTTGAAATTACTCAGTTTGTGTGCTTGGCTTCTTTCATTTATAAATGTGCATTTAAGTTTCTCTGTTTTTTCATGGTTTGTTAGCTTGTTTCTGAGTAAGATTCTGAGTTAGATTCCATTGTGTGGCTCTGTCACGTTTTATTTACCCATTCGCCTGTCGAAGGACATCTTGCTCACTTTCAACTTTTGCAAATTATGAATACAGCTGCTATCAATATCTGCAAACAGACTTTTATATAGATCTAAGCTTTCAATTCCAGTGGATACATACCTAGGAATGTGGTTGCTGGATCATTAATCAGATATTTAGTTCTCTAAGAAACTGCCAGTCTTCCAAAGCAGAATTTGGCTTTTCTACCAACATTGAATGGCTTGGTATCTCCACCAGAGTTGGTGTTCAGAGGTTTTGAACTTTAGTTATCCTTATAGACATGTAGTGCTGGTCATATTTTAATTTGTAATTTCTCGCTGACAGTAGTTGATGAATATTTTTCACATACATATCTGTATGTGCCAACTCTTTGCTTCTTTGATGAGCTAGTTGTTCAGGTTTATTTGTTTATTTTTTTTTCATTTTAAAAATTGAGTTGTTTTCTACTGTTTAGTTTTGAGAATCTTTTTACATTTTGGATTCAGATGGTTTAACAAATGTGTTTTGCAAACACCTGCTCCAAGTGTGTGACTTGTGTGTTTATTGTCTTAAAAGTGTCTTTGGAAGACACTGTGAGTGTAATTTTAACAATTTCACTTTAAGTGTTTAAGAAAATTCATACATTGTATATTTTATTGTGTGTAAAACCTTATTATGTAAATTTTCTGATATGTTTTTTTTAAAAAAATTTATGGCGCTATTTTATTTTTAGAGCTATGTTCACATTTGGATTTATTTATTTATTTATTTATTTACTTATTGGAGGCTCTGGGGATTGAATTTTGAGTCTTTACACTGAGCTGTATCTGCAGCCCTCTTTTATTTTTATTTGGAGACAGGGTTTCTCTAAGTTATTGAGTTGCCTGACTGCAAGTTTCAGTCCTCCTGCCTCTGCCTCCCAAAGTGCATTTTTAGGTTTTTTTTCTTTTTTTGGTAAAACTTAGAATGCATGGTTGCTTTTAAGATTTTGTTTCTGTTTTTCATTCTCTTTACTTTGCTATTGTATGACTAGGTATAGATTTTTAAAAATTTTCCTGTCCATTGTTTTTGAACTTCTTGGATCTGTGGTTTGGTGCATTATTATTAGTTTTAGAAAATTCTCGTTTATTGTTATTTGAAATATTCCTTCTCCATATCTTTGTTCTCCTTTTGTTAAGCCAATATTGCATGTATTATACCTTTTGAAATCATGCTACCATCTTTGGATAGCCTGCTATTTTTCATTCATGTTTTTGCTTTCTTTTCAGTTCAGGAATTTCCTATTGACCTGTCTTCAACTCACTCTTGATAGGCTGTGCCCTGCCTATAAATGAACCTTGCACTTTCTTCACTTCTCTCAGGGCATTTTCCATTTCTAGCATTTCCTTTAATGCTGTCTTATCTGCTCACATTACTCATTTGTTCCTGCATGTTGTCTATTTTTTCTGTTAGAATCTTTAATCATAGTTTTCAAAACATTCCTAGTCTGATAATTTGCAAGCCACTGCCGTATTCAAATCTAGTTCTGATGCTTACTTTGTTTCTTCAGCTTGTCTTTTGCCTGTTAGTATGCACACCTTGTAACTTTTGACTGAAGCTGGGTATCCAATATTAAGCGGTAAGAACGAAGGTCAATAGACCTTTAGTGTGAGGCTATATGTTATCTGGCTAGAAGTTTGCCATGCTTAACGTTGCCGTAGCTGTCGGTCTCAGAGGCTTCAATTTCCTTTAGTATCTTCATTTTGTCCTCCATCCTGTGTTTGAAGTTCCCTAAAATTTTCTTAAATGCAGTCTGTGGGGCCTGGTAATGTGATGAGGAGAGGGGAAGAAGGTGGCATTCCATCGTCCTTGGTTTGGTTTCAGTCATCCGGAGGATGTGTCTGTGAACTGCTTTAGTGTTGCTCCGCAGTTTTTCCTTTAGATGAGACAGAGAGACCAGAGGATGGACTGGGGTGATCTCCATCTGCCTATATCTGATGAAGCTTTGGTGAATTCTCTTCCCTTTCAGAGTAAGCCTTTGTTAAAGAGAAAGCTTTGAGTGCATTTGGAAATTTTAAAACTTTATGTTTGAAATAAAGGTTTTTCTTGGTTCTTGGTTAGCTGTGAGAGTCTGGTAGAGTTCCTGGAGGTAAAACCCAGGAAATTGTGGGGTATGCTGGACTTCAGCCTTGTGAAGTTTTTCATCCTGGCACTAATGACTTGTAAGCACTTTACGTGTCAGAGTTGAAAGCAGAAGTCCTCTACAAATGTAGACATTTGAAAGGGTTTTTCTGCCCATCATATTTAATTCCTTGATCAGTCTGGAATGAATATTTGAGAATGGTGCGAAGTAAGGCTCATTTAGTTTTTTTTCATGTGGATAAAGCATCATCAACACCATTATTGAATTGTCCCTTGTTTTCACCATTGAGATGGCTTACCAGATTATTATATGTCGTTTCTATATATTCTTAATTCTTTTGGTCTTTTTATTTCATTTTGTTAGATATTTAATCCTCTCCCAATAACACACTTTCAGAAATTACTAAATCTGGAGTTAGAGGTATTGCTCAGAGGTAGCGTATTTGCCTAGCATGCATAAGGCCCTGAGTGATCCTCAGCACGCTCCCCCCATGATCCAGTAAAGCCAATCTTCCTACCTAATACTTCTTTAATAGTGTCTTAGCTATCTTGGTGCTTTTCAGTAAGAATTAATTTTTGTATATTCACCTTATGTATGTTTGGTATGGTTTTTGTAATAATGCTTTTCTTTAATTCTGGAAACATTTCAACCACTATTTCTCTGAGTATTTCTTCTTGCCATTTTTCCAACTTTTCTTCCTGCTCTGGTAATTGGATTATTATTTCTGCATTGTCAAACATTCTTATTAATATTTATGTTCTGAAGTATAACGATAATTTTTGCATATGTTTACAATTATAATACTTTGACAATTAAGTTGATTCAGTGGTCTGTCATTCTTTTGAATGAAGTTCTTTGTTCTCTTCTTAAATGGCTACAGATTATACCATAGTATTTTTTTCTGGAAAGGGTTATGAGAAGTATTTTGTATCAAGTTGTTTTCTAATGGCTTGGTGTGCCTCATCAAATAACAGTTCCTATCATGGGAGTCTTCTGTTTTATCTTTGAATTTTCTTTTGCTTGATTTTTGGTTATCTTCTTCAAAATATTGTGGTTTATATCCTTATTTATCTTCTGTAATTAATACTTACTTTGTTAATTAAAAAAGCTCACTTCTTTTCCTTTTTAATATGCTCAGTTTTTTGAAGCTTTTCCTTATGTGTTCTTGGCTCTCTGTTACCTTTATTATGTTTTTTTATCCATCATCTTATTTTTTCTTTAATTTATTAGCCTAGTCAGCTCCAGTGGCACTGAGGAGCACTGAAAAATATCTGCTAAATCATCTCTGAGTACTTATTCACTAGCATTCTTCCTTGTTGGTGTGACTTTTGCCTCTTCTGGGGGTGGGAGAGTCACTTTGAGCCCATAGTCACAGGTATTGGTTGGTCAATTGGTTATTTATTTTTTTATTTATTGAGATAAAGTCTCACTATGTAGCTTAGGCTGGCCTTGAACTCACAGAGATCCTCTAGCTTCAGCCTCCCAAGTGCTTGGATTGAAGGTGAGCACCACCATGGCTGCAGCTCTGTGTGCCTCCCCGATTTTTTCTAAATCTAGCCTTGCTGACAGCCTATTTCTTACAAAAATAACTTTTCTACTTATCTTTGGAAAGCTCACTACAGTTACCTACACACTGAGATTTTTGCTCCCATCAAAGCACCCCTGTTTAACCCTCCAGTGGACCATTTGCTATGGAGAACCCCTTGTTAGCTCCAGATTGCAAAACTCGAGTTTTTCTAAGTCGGTGAGTGCACACTCCATGGATTCAGCAGCCCTTTGTGCACTGTGGCTTGGGGTGGGGTCATTCCTGGCTTTCCTTGTTAGTTTAGGAGAGAAGTGGAATTAGAGATATTTTTTCTCTAGTTAGCATAATGTTGTTGATGAAAAAAGTAGGCAAGTTTGCCAAACAACAATCAACATTATTACATAGATTAGCGTATGCCAGTCATTAGGTAACCAGACGTACCTCTTTTTTTCCCCTTCCACTTTAAAGTTTGGATTTTTTTCTCTTCTAATTAAATCCAGCAAATAAGAAAACTCATATAAAAGCTAATGTTTTAAAGTGTGTTTAAGGCCTAAGTGAGGAAAGTCCACAAACACCAGATGCAAATAATGCTTTTCCTCCCATCTGGTCAATTATCCTGCTTTCTTTTTTAGAAAATGTATATTTCCTCTAAGTCTTAAGTGTAAATAATATTTTTCTTTGGTTTCTACATGTGGAAATTACCTCTTAAATTAAGGCCTGTGGTTTATCTACTAATGAAGACTAATTGAGGGGGCAGTTGCCTTTGGTGCTACCCTTAGGTCTATTTAAACCACTGACATGAAAAGAAGTGACTCTAAAAATATATCTTCTAACTAATCACCTGCAGCATCCCAGCTCTAGGGAATTAAATGAAAAGTGACACATTTCATAAGGCCACTGGGATGTTTATTGACACTCCCACATGATCAGTTCATGGTTGTCACCTTGCTGAAATTGATCAACCTGCTACATATGGACAATATTGTAATTACATCTCCTTTTGACAAAGATGCATTAAGTGGGGCTGGAATATGGAAACCTCTTTCAGCTTTCATTAATTCGATATAAATCCAAAGTTTGCAGATTCAGCAGAGTTGTCTGGAGTGGCCTAATTGGAGTTGCTGGACAGGAACATTGATCGTGCTTTACTCAGGTAAAGATGAAAGTAACTGCAACAGTAGATATTGCACTTGAAGGTCATCAAATTGCAGTCAGGGAAGGGGAGCAGGACATTAAAACACACACAAATTAAGGGAATTTTTATGTGGTATCTTGGAATGCTTGAATAACACAGTACTAACTGGCTTTGAAATTTTGTACTTTTGCTTTTGTGTTTCGAGAAATACAAATATATTTTAAAGAGATTATTATAGTCAGTTTTAATGTCTCAGAGGTTTGCGCCTGATATTTATTTGTAGACTCTATGACATTATGTAAAATTAAGGCCTTAATTATGAATGCATCTGATATAAAGGGTAAAATTACTCTTTTACTGGCTTTCCCTTGACCTCAAGTTTATAACCAGGGGGATGTTTATTCTAAATTCATTTCTAAGAATCTCTGGACGCTCAGCTGTCCTGAGGTCTCCCAGCACAGTTGCAGGAAACGGTTCCTCAAGCAGGTCCTCGCCAAGTCATCATTTTCCACCCTTGGCAAAGATCAAATGTGCCCATTTCAGCACTGTTAGTACCAAGTGTAAGTACCAAGGCTGTGTTTTAGTTCTTTCAGGAGGAAAGAAAACACCAGCTGTTTCAAATTTGGGAGTCCAACTTGGGCAAAAGACAACTGCCGTGCTGTCTATTGTGTAGTCTTCCTTCTACAAAAATAACATCTGCTGGGGAGGGACATAGTCTCCAGCAACGTAAAATCAGCCCATAAATAGGAAGATTAAGGCCCACAGCATCAGATTACCGGCATCTCATAGAAACCTCTTATGGCAGAGGGGGCTCTCTGTGGAGAAGGAAAATGAGTCTTTTTTCCTTCTTTTCGCCCCCTGCATTAATTCTGATCTCAGGAGCTCACTGTTGCATTCTCTGCGGCAGATGACCACATAATCAGAGCTCCCACTGCCAGAGCCTTTGAAAAGACAAGTGGAAATTAGCTTTTAGCTACGTCCCTGCCCCTCCTCCTAACCCTGTGGATAATGTCACACATTTCACTGTTCATCCTCTGGGGGCTGGCTTGTGCTTGCTCTCTTTTCTTTGGCAGTGACTTTTAAAAACCAGTTCTTATTACAATCCTCAGATTTAAAATTAAGTTATGATCACATCTTCTCAGGGCATACCTAGGAGGCACTGCTTCTCCCCAGCCAAATCAACTCTTTCCCCACGGGGCCCATTCCTGGAAATGTTACTGTTCTTAATAAGCAGCTCGAATATGGATTTTCATTTCATCTTTTCTCTTTTACCCGCATTTCACATGTGTTGTTGTGTGTCAGGCAGTTTCCATGAGTCTCTGCTGTTACACACTGTGGAAAGCATGAGGTGGGAGTTGTTCTAATTTAAAAATTATTTTTACTCAGATAGTGGCTGGGCTTGGAAATGTTCTCCTTTGCTCTGAGGGTTTTAGGCCAATGCTCTTTGTGTGTGTGTGTGTGTGTGTGTGTGTGTGTGTGTGTGTGTATGTGTGTGTGTGTGTGTGTTGGCGGGGTCCCTGTTGCCTACTTTTCCTCCTGTAACACAAACTGGTCTAGCTAAGTAGAGTTAATAAGGGAAGAGGAAGTCTTTAAAAATGCTTCCTGCATGCAAAGGTCAGTACAGGGTATCTTTCTGGGCACAAAGGGCAAGGGTGCTGAACACCGGGCAGGAGTCTGGGAACTATATCAGGAAAACAATCAAAGGATGAGACTGTGGCTTCCCCTGGGCCTCTTTTGTAAATTGCAAGAAGGGACGTGGGCATTTTGTGATGCTTTGTAGCAACGGGCGCTTTGGTGCTGATTGTAGGTTTTATGACTCCTATTTTATTACCTACAAATAATAACAGACATTTCCTTTTTCTCTGCACCACAGTAAGTCCCTGGCTCAGACAAGAAGCAACTCTGCACTGCTTTTCAGACCTCATTCTTCTCGACTGCAGGGACGATGGTTTCTATTATACTTGTGGCCTTTCATACTCCCAATGGTGCGGCTGATGAAATCCAACAGCCTAGTGCACGGATGTGGTTGAAAAGACCCTCACAGGACCGGTGCCACCTCCCCACAGCGTGGGCTGGTTCCCTCCCGAGGCGGCCACTGTCAGTGGGACTGGTACCTGAGTTGTTCTCCTGATTGAGAGGATGGGTCATATTACCAGTTCATACTTTTTTGTCTTGGTCTCTTTTAAACTAATCACATAATTATATGATCTCTGGCCAAAGGCCGTGACCAAGGACAGAAATTCCCTGTGTAGATTTTTTTTGCCACAGATATTTGCACTGGACTGTTGGAAGAGACTAAGTATGACAGCCGTTTTTCCCATTATGATGGAATGACCAAGAGAAAAGCTTCAGAAAAACATGTGTGGGATTCTCTCAAGTCTGAGAACACATTCCTCGTCCAGTACCAGGTGCCTGCTCTCCATCTGAGAGGCTCCTAGCAGCCCCTTCATTGCTTCTTTAGCTATTCTCCAGTCAGCCATGTCTGAAAAACAGCCCCAAGAAGTTGAAGACAGTAGCAAGCCTCATAGAAATTTGTAAGTCCAAGGTAGTAGCAGATGGCTCAGGGGCATTTCATTTTGCTTTAAAATACCCCAAACTAGCAAATAATTTTAAAGAGAATTAAAACAATAACAAAATAACAATAACAAATATGTGATATAACAAATAATGAATAATGATGAGAATTCACAACTAGGTGAAAAAAAAAAACTTGCAAGCCCAAACCGTTATATAGAATATCCAAGATATAAACCACCCCTAAACCCATGTTTTAGTCATTTTGGTGACAATAGAGTTTTGTGTGAGCCTGTTTAGAAAACAAAATGTGTATTTGGTAACTGATAAGAAGGTTGGAATTTTAGGAGCAGTGATTCACACAGAACACAGAGAGTGAAAAAGTTTGAACTTGTCACATACCATGGTCATATTCAAAACTAGAAAGATGACATAGGAAGCTTTGTTCAGCTCCTCACTGTATGCCAAAGTAATTATTCATTTTAGAGTATTTCCCCTTATTGCTTGTTTTAGATTGTCCCCTCCCTCTTTGTTAGGCCCAGGAGAAGGTTTCCAATGGGAGGCAGTGATGGAAAGTATTGTGAAAAGTAAATGCCTCAAAAAGGGATTTGGAGGAAAAGAACATACTCAGAAGACACAGAAACTATTACAGCACGACAGCTAGCTGACTTGCCTCTAAGACCTATGGAAAGTTATCTGAGTCACAGAGATCCCCAGAGATCTGTAATGGACGTCCTGGTTTCTTGCTCCAGCAGGGCTAACGCTAACACTGCTTATAGCCTTACTGTTTGGACTGTGCATACTCAGTCTCTTAGTCAAATTTGTTTCTTCCTGTTTGACAGCCTTAAAGCTACAAATGGTGCTGCAGACAGACCTACCGGTAGATGTTCCCATCAGTTTCTACTCCGGGCCCTTTGATAGACCCTATGGTGGTGGACCCTGACTGCTGCTCTGCCACTGCCCCTCTCAGCTGGAAGCAGCCAGATCACCTGATGGATGCTCATCCCTACAGTAGTAGTTAGGGATACCACTGATGAGGGGGATTGAGATGGGGAGAGAGATAAACAATAGGCAGCTAGGATGAGGAGCTGAGGAAGCTGAGATAACCTCTGGGAGAATTAGAGCACGGCGGGAGAGAGTCTCAGTGAAGTGTGTCCCAGGAATCTAGAGGGCAGGGAGCAGGGGAGTCTGTTCTGACATCAGAGGCCCAGCTGAAATTGGCAACCACATTGTCTCAAAGGAAGGGCCTGGGTAAGCTGAGATGAGCCCTGGGAGTTTGGAGTGCAAAGGAAATCTGCTCCTGCTGACCTCAGAGCCCAGCTAAAAGTGGTAACTTGTTTTGTTTTCACATACCCACAAAAATAGTCCATCCAAGTGTATTTAGGTGTAAACCCTTGAACTTGGGCACCTCCTTGGTGTCCTCCCTTGGAGGCCCTCTCTGTTAATGAGAACTTTTCTTTGTTCTTTCTAATAAACTATACATGATTCGTTCCCCACTGCTCTGTCTGTGGGCTTCATACTTTGATCGTCTTCAGGACAAGAGCCCAGAGGGAGGAGAAAATCGGTTATACCATGTGAGCCAGGAAAGCATGGGAAGCTACCTATTCATTAAGTATCTACTAGCAAGATTGCCCTTTCAGTAAGAACCTAGCAGGACTTAACTGTGTTCTTCTTCACCCTGCAAAGCATACAGCTGGCAGTGCAGCCCGCACCTCCTCACCTCATCTCCACTGGACGCGTCCTATTCAAGTGCTCAGCAGCCAGCTGTGGTTGATGGTTATGGCACTGAATGGTGTCCTTCCAGACTGCTTCTTCCCACTGCATCACATTTTTGTCTTTTATTTAATAAACCTAAGAAAATGTGTGAGTGTTTCCATAGGAAATTTCAACAATGACATACACTAACACCTTGGGGCTGTATAAGTAGTTTGTGAGCTGGGTGATGAGCAGGCTATGTTAGGGGTAGGCACAGCACATCCTGCTGTTGCAGGAGAGTGAAATTCTTCCAGGTCAGGCTGGTGACTCCATGCAGGCTTCTGCCCAAAGGAAGTGGGACATCTGAAGCACTACAGGAAGGCTGACAGTGTTAGGTCCTTGGTTAAAGCCGACGATGCTCATTCCTGGGGGAGTGAGACACCCCAGAAGAGTAGAATAATTAAGCACATTGACTTTTTTCTTTAAGGCATGAACTTAACCAATTTCCTGGAATTTAAAAAAGAATTTACTAGAAGAAAAGCAAAACAAGTCAATAACCTGACAAACCATTAGATGCTCAGGGTCTCTGGACAGGCAGCTGAAAGTGCACAGTCTGTGTCCAGTTTGCACTGTCATCCTGGAAGGGGCGAGCACTGGAGTGACAAGGGAGATAGAGAAGCTGTTAAAAGCCAGGGAAAATAACGAGTATCTACTCCGTCAATGGAAAACTGTCAGTCCCTTATGTCTTTATATTGCTTGGCTGGACGGTAATTCAAGCACACCTTCTGAGTTTTCACCAGCACTTCATTGCAAAGAAAATAAACCTTGTGAAGAAGAGTCCTAAGAGGAACAGTGGCTTTCACTCTAGCATCTGCAGTGGGTGAATCTGGGTAATAGAATTTATTCAGAAGGAGGGGAGATGCGAACAAAGAGATGGGATGTGTCTGCAGACGGGAAACCCAACTCGCGGTTTTGGAAGTGAAACTCCCTTTGTTTATTACGATGATCTCTAATGACTTTGCTCTGGACATTGAGCTGGAGTATACATCCCCAGATAAAAAGTATTACCCTGAGGGGTTAAAGATGACAAATTTTTGTCCCTTGCTGCCTATATCCAGCCATCTCTGCCCAGAAGTTTACTTCTGAGTTGTTGGCTTCCTAGGCTGAGTGCTGTCTCAGAGTTGCAGTTTCGGGGGCTTTCCTTTCTTTGTGCTGAGAGCTGGTACTCCATGCAGCCTCAGTGGCAGCGGGAGCTTGCTGTCTCAGTTAAGGGAAAGCCTCCGCGAAGCCACTGCAGGGTAGAAGCCTGTGGGGCCCTCCGATTGGGGCTCTAGTGCTGTTGGAGTCCTGCTGTTGCATGCTAAAAATAACTGCGAGCAGCAAGCCTGGGGACACAGATTTGTAGCGGCAACTCGCGAAGCTCACAGCTCTCTTAGGATGGGAGCATTGGATGTCATGGGAAATGCTACTTGCTGAGCAGTTTCAAGTGTTCCTCCAAGTAAATCAGAGAGCTGTTTCTTTTCTGTTTATGTCAGTGCAGCCATGACCACATAGCTGAGGAACCCAAGATCCTCACGAATTAGGCTCGGACCACTGAGTTTGCCAACTCTCTGCCAGCCATTTCAGCTCTTTTTATTGCTGCCCATGTGGATGGGCTCAAAAGACACACATAATTACCTGCTGCCAAGGTCTTCACAGTTCCTGGAGAGCCAAGTCCAAAGAGCACACGGTATGATGCAGAAAGGAGCATGGACAGGGGCCTCACAGCACTAGCTTTGACCTTGTATCTTCTACAGTGTTCCCGAACTACCTTAGTGAGTCTTGTCACTTCTTGGGGGTTTGGAGACACTAAGATGAACTAGCACGATGGCCTTAAACCTGGGCTCAGTGACGCCTCCTCAAGGAGCTCTTGGGAACTAGAAGTAGGGCAAAGAACTGGTTTCTAGAATCTTCTACCCATCCGAAAAGTGGAGGTCTGTTTTTGTCTGTGAACTGTTACAACATGTTGGGATCCCTTACAAAGCTTTTATCTGAAGAAAGGATACACAGTTTAAATATTTACACAAACACAGTAGACCATCATCTACCTAACAAATTCTGATTTTGTGATTTTCCAGTGTTTGTTAGCTTTTGGGCATTCTGCAAAGAGTTTTGTTGATGGCTGGTGTGGCAGTTTCCTTACTGAGTTTTACATTCGCCTGTGGAGTCTATTGAAGACAATAAAGAGATGTGTAATGACTTTTTATTCCTTCCAGGGGACTGGCTGCTGTCTTGGTGATTCCATTGGTGGGTGCCAATTCACCAGTCATTGGACTGTACAGTTGGAACGTTAGAATCTGATTCTTGTCATGACTTTGTTACGAACCGGGCTTTGAATACAGCCTTTACTCTTTTGGGAGGGAGGTAGCATATGTGGGAGGGAGGTAGCATATCCAGTTATGTGCTTGAGATATGGACCCACTTACAAGATATATGTTTCTGGAGAAATTATTTTACCTCTGTGTTTCAGTTTATCATCTGTTCAATAAAAATAATATCACCTCCTTCACTTACTGTTTAGAGTTAAAACATAAAAACTGAAAAGAAATTAATAATTTCATATTATGAAAAAAGAGTTAAATAAGCTAAATTATGTAAGATACTTAGAAAATAACCTGACACAAATGGAAGTCCCAATAAATACTAGTTAGAATTACCTGGGGTGCTTCTTTCACTAACATGTGATATGTAAAGTTTAGATGGGGTGAAAGATAAAGTCATTAACTTACTCTTTAGACTGTACACTCAGGTGTATTGTTCTCTTGGGTTTATTGTGTTTCCAGGGCCTAGGAGAGTGCCTTGCACACAGTAGGTGCTCATAGTATACTTGTTTCCTAAATGACTAAGGTCCTGCATTTTTTCATATAGGTACTGTGTAAGAACATGTTTATAAGCATCTATCATACAGAAATGGTACTTCACAAAATTAAAAATATTCAGAGTGTTAATAGGCATACATTGAAAAATCAACCAGTTTTAGTGAACTAACTCTTTTAGTTATGGTTCAGGTTGGAAAATGAATGAGCTCAAACCAGTTAGTTTGACAGATAAACTGAATAGGGGGACATAGTTACGGAGAGCCTGAGGAGGGGCAGGAAGCCATCAGGGAATGGTGAGGCAGCCCAGAGATGAACCACCTGCACCCCAAGGTGGGTGGAGAAAAAGCAAGGCATGTGCTGCTGTTGCCCCAAGGCCTGGCACCCCATGGGAGCTCATAGCTGGGCTGTGGAAGAGGGATTGGCTCTGCCAGCTGTGCACCCCACCTTCAACTGGCTAAATTCATGCTGCAGTCATCTGGCAAGGTAGATAGGAAATGCCGTTTGAGGGATTCAGTACCCAGGGACTCAGACAGCTGCAAAGAAGACCAAGGAATAATCTTAGAGCAAACAGGCCCAAGCCCAGCATCCAACCAAGCTATGCACTGAGCACACTCTGAGAGAAGGACTAGCAAACTGTGGCCCATGGGTCATGTCCAGTCTGCTTTCCTCTTTTTGTAAATAAAGCTTTGTTAAAACACAGTCATACTCATTCAATTATATATAGTGTGTGCCGCTTTTGCACTGTGATGGTGTGGTTGAGTCGTTGTGGCATAGACTAACCAAGCATCCTCTAAAGCATAAGATATTTATTGTCTGGCCCTTTATAGTAAAGTTCCCACCTTCTGTTCTAGAAAAGCCCAATCTCCACAACCACTTGATAGCTAAGTATTTTTATCATTCTTCTACAAGTGGAAGAACTGGCTCAGAAAAGAATTTGATTTGCCTGACAATGAGCACCATTGTCCAGAAGGAAATCGGCATCTGACCTCCAGCTACCCTGGGACCCAACTCCAAGAGCTCTCACGGCACCTTTCTGCCTTCCTCATTCAATGACTCAGGTGACCTCAACCTGTGCCCTAATGACCCTGTGCCCTCTGAGCTATCCCAGGCTCCTGCACCTCTGCTGAAACCAGCATGTCACTCAGTCTCATATCTGTGCAGGACAAGTCTCTGCCTCCTCTCTCCTCACCAGCAGTACCATGGTAGAACAAAGGAGTGGGAGGTTGTCTGACTTAGAGCAGTCCTCGGGTTCTACCACAGGAGCCATAAGGAGATGCCTGTCTCTTGGACTGCGCTTTCTAGATAGACAGCTGGTGCTTAAGAAACTCTTCCCTCTCTCTTTGTTTATGCAGTCATCATACAAAGCAGTAATAGCAAAAGATTTGGGAGAACATCTCCGACATAATGGAAATCAATGTTAAAATGAGATTTGCTTTACAAAATATGCAGTATAGCCAACTCCTTAGGAATGTTCTGTAAAGCTAAGTACACCTGTCTGATGGAAAATAAAACTCCTTGAGTTGGAATATTATTGCCAACATTTCTCTGCACTGCTTGCAGATTCATCGTAGGCAATGGTATTTATGAGTCAAGCTGTGTTGTTTTTGTACAACAATGATACAGCAGGAAAAAGCTCACAGACTACATCGAATTTGTGTTTACTGGAAATTCCAAATGATTGCGAGGTAGGCACTGCTTGCTTTTGCTCTGCTCACACAGATGGAGGGAAATTGCAGCTCTGGGAACAATTTAAAGGGGTAAACCAAGTACACGTGAGATAGGTAGGATTTTCATGTGATGACACGTAGAAAGGACAGAGCCTGGATATGGTATGATTTGACTTAGCATTTTAGCCCATGCAGGTATTTTTATAATGTAATAAATGCACTCTCTTGCCTCAGTGAAAATGATTCTCCTGGCCTACTCCTCTCAGGATAATTGACACCAGTTGTGTCTTTAAGGCCAGCGTGAACCTCTGCTGACCACTCAGTCCCTGCTCTTGCAGCCATTGGGGGTTTGGAACAACCTACCCTTCATGCTGTAGCCACAGACCACAGAGGGGTTGCGGGTGTTCCCTTGGCCCAGGGGCAAGGTGGAAGTACTTGCTTCTAAGTGGTTCCAGAGCTCATGGATCTATTTTCATCTGGGGGATCCTAGGTAAATTGGTAATTCATTACATCCAAAAGTTCACAAATATTTCATGAGAAGTACTGTGATGGAGTAGGAAAGCTTGGGCTTCAAAGGCTAAAAAAGGTGGGTTGGAGCCAGTTGTGCCATGAGCCTGACCCTCTCTCTGGGCCTCAGAGGGAGTAGGTCTTCTCTGTGGCAGCTGAATGAGGGTCCTTAATAAACAGGTCCCAGTCTCTGGATCCCAGGAAGGTTACTTTATATGGAAAAAAGGTTTGTGGAGATGTGAATAAGTTGAAGATGGTGAGATGAGGCAGTTATCCTGGATAACTGATGGTCTTAAATGCAATCACAAGTGTCTTTTTGGTGTGTGTGTTGGGGGGGTACTGAGGATTGAACCCAAGGCCTTCACACAGAGATGCCTTCCCAGCCCTCTTCATTCTTTCTATTTTGTGAGTCTTGCTAAGTCACTAAATTGCCCAGGGGGTGCTTGAACTTGCAATCTTCCTGTCTCAGCTTTCCAGAGTGCTGGGATTGCAGGCATGCACCACCAAGTTTGGCTACAAGCGTCCTTATAAGAAGGAGGCAGAGGGAGATCTAATACAGAAGAGGTAGAGGGCAGTGTGATGATGATGATGGAAGGAGGAGAGAAGATGGAGGGAAGGCCCGTGAGCCAAGGAATGTGAGGAACGCTGGAAGGTACCATACAAGGCAAAGGAACGTATCCTCCCCTAGAACCAGGAGGGAGAGTGGAGTGCTGAAGTCCTTTCCTTAACATAGAGGAACTGAGGGGCTGGGGATTTAGCTCAGTGGCTAAAAGCGCCTGCCTGGCAAGCACAAGGTCGTGAGTTCGGTTCCCGGTACCGGAGAAAAAAAACAAACAAACAAACAAAAAAAACATAGAGGAACTGATTTAGACTGCTGGCCTTGAGAACTATGAGAAGACATATCATGCTGCCTAAGCCCACAAAGCTCACGGTACTTTGCTATAGCAGCCACAGGTAACTGATAAGCTCTTCCATCAATTCTTATGGTGTATAAGAATTAAAAAGAGAAAGCATGTCAAATGAAGAAAAACATGCCTATAGTGAGGGAGAAGGATCTGAAGCAGTTTAGGAGGAACTATGGACATTTGTCCATAGTTTGAGAATAAACCCACTTTCCCTCCCATGTGTAGGTTGAAGAATAAGAAGTGGCCCACTTAGTGCCTGTCATGGATTCAGCCCACCATTAACTGTGTCCCAGCCTTCTGCAGTCCCCCTCTGACCTTTCTGTCCTCTCCTCAACATCTGCTAAGCCCACCCGATCTGCAGCCATGTCACTCATGCCAACCTGGGGATTGAACCCTGGATTCAGGGTCCAGGAAGATGGGAGGCACAATTTCTGATCCCTAGGTCCTGGTCAGCAGCTGACACTCACCCAGTCTGCCTTGTCCCTAACATGGAAGTAAGGGTCGGTCAGAAGTTGAGAGGTGGGTGGATGATTTTCACAGAGGAGGCCAATTGGGAGAACCCGAGGATGCAGAGGGAGGAAGATGTGGCAGGGAAAGTCCATGTGGCCAACTCATGTGACCACAAGCTCAGGCCTTTGAGCTGAGGAGAGCTGCTTCTCCCCTCCCCTGCCTCACCTCTGGGATGCCAAAGGAGCCAGCACTTGAGGGAATCTTGGTGAGGACAGTGGCTCACCAGCAAGAGGCCCTGCTGGGGTCAGATTGCCATGTGGGGAATCTCAACATATGGCCAATGTCAGGACAAACTGTCAGGAGTTTTACAGTGCTGGAAGAAGATTTTACACACACACACACACACACACACACACACACACACACATGCATACGCACATGCACATGCACATGTACACATCCTTACCTTAAGTCTTCTTGGTATAGGAAAATCAGTATTCCCAGGAGCATAGTCCAACAGAATCATCTGAGTGATTAAAAGCCACAGCCACCACCATCATAGCAATAATCATAGCAAAGGTTAATTTCTCTACCTTCCAAAAAATGTAAGACTAAAGGCCTGGTAAAGGAACTTCAAAGATTTACAAGGCCTGTGGTCATCTGTGTGCAAGAGGAGATAAGCTTTCCCAGAGAGCACAGTCCAAAGTTAGGAAGAACATGGTGGTGAGTTTAGCCCAGACCTGAAGACCTTGTCTAAGGGCATCACATCTGTTTCCTGGCCAAGCCTGCAAATAGATGCTGCAGGAAGGTGGGTTAGGATGAACTGCAGAGCCTTTCTGCAACCCAACTTCTGGTCTCCGGTAGCAACCAAGGTAGCATCTTGTTGCATCTCCAGGATTCTAAAGAAGAACCAGTACAGTTGGTCAGGCGCTTCTTCTGTGTCAGACCTGAGACAATACCTAGTGGTCCTCAGCCCAAGGATGAATGGGTGGCTGATGTCAGCTAGCCATGGAGGCAGCAAGTACCTGAGATACACAGCTTAAAAGGACAGCTTTATTTTGGCTCACAGTTTGAGTCCATGGGCTCTTGGCTCTGTTGGCTTTGGTCGGTAACGAGGCTGTAGGTCATGGTGGGTAGAGGTCATGGAGGTGTGGTTAAAGTGGTCTGTTCTCCTTATGGCAGATGAGAAGCAAAAAGGGACAGGAAAGGGCTAAGGTCCCAATGTTCCTTTTAAGGTCAAGACCTAATTTCAATGGGCCCCACCCTCTCAAGGCTCCACTGCGTCCCAACAGTGCTGCACTGGGTGCCAAGCCTTCAGCACAGGGACCTCTGGGAGATGTCCCAGATTCAACTGTGACGTTCATTTGCCTGGGGGTAGTCAGAGCCTTGGCGGGACAGACAGGGCCCTCCTATAGGCTAGGCAGAGTTGATTCTAGGAGCAGTCACACTGGTTTTGGTAAGCTAAATGAATGAGGAGCCACACATTTACTGGTGGGGAGACTGGAGAGGAATTCAGCCCTAAACATGTTCATTCTCGCCCTGTGGACACAGAGAGAAGGAATGAGGGAAGGCAGAGTATCCCAAAGGAGGTGGACCCTGGATCCATGGAGCCTTGGAAAAGGAGTTCACGCAGAAGGGTGGTGGGACAAGCCAGAAACCAGGAGACAGGGAACAGGAGTCTTGGACTCTCATCTTTAGAAGGTGTCAGGTTATAAAAACTTCCCCTGAGGGTTTCAGAATAACAGCAACTTCAATAAGGCTCAAGTGCTGGTTCTTTCTTCTGAGACCTTCCCACTGATCTTTAGTACAGAACTGCATACACTGAGCGAGACTAGACAAGATAAAATGGGTGAGGCTCGAGGACAACAGTGGCAGTCCTATTTTCTTTAGAAAACTGTAGCTAAGTAGGGTGGAGATGGAATATTAGAAGGCCACTGGAACAGAGGGCTGACTCCCTGAATTTGTACCCTGGCTTGGTAAGGAATACCATTTGAGACTTTAAAGGTGGGACCTGGACATGCTGCAGCAGCCACTGTTTCACAGAAAATGCTGTGAAACGGAGGATGCAGCCTCATGGGTGGTTGGAGGACCTGCCATGGAATAAGTGATTCTGGACAGAGACAGCTTGAGTAAGGTGCAGTGAGGGCCTGGGCACTGATACATGTGAGATTGTGGGCAATGAACCCAACTTTCCATGCCTCGGTTTATCTAATTCACCTCCAGGGAATGTGACACTGGTTGTTCTACTTCCCTTGTTTCTGGTTGCACAGAGAATTGAGTGAGATGATGCCTGTAATGTTCTTGGTTCAGAACTTGACTGGATTAGTTTCCTATGGCTGCTACAATAGTACAGATTTAGCAGTGCAAACAGCACAAGTCTAGCATCTTCCCATTTTTGAGGTCAGCAGTCTGAAACTGGCCCAACATCAAGGGGCTGGCAGAACTGCATTCCTTCTGGAATATCTGGAGGAGAAGGGTTTCCTTGCCTTTTCCACCTCTGAGTGGCTCTTCCAAGCTTCTTTGGCTTGTAGCCCCTTTTCCCACCTCCAAACTCCAGTAGTGTAGCATCTTTACATCTCTCTAGGACTGTGATCCTCTTGCCTTGACCTTTCACTCTAAGGACTCTGCTGAGCACACCAGGTCCATCCATATAACCTAGGATATTCCCCAATCTCAAAATCCTTGATTTAATCACATCAGCAAAGTACCTCTTGCCATGGAAAGTGACATAGTCACAGGTTCTGAGGATTAGGATGTAGTCAGCTTTGTAGGAGGTAATTATTGTAGGATCAGTGTGCTGGCTTAAATGAAACATTTAATATCCCCAGCATAAACATCAAAAGCCTACACTCTTTTTGATGCTGTGAAAATTACCTTGATCTGGTAAAAACTGCACTTTGAGTTTTGCCCCTTTCTTAGGCCATTTATGTGCCATAATGTCCTTTCAAAATGTGGGGTGATAGCAGCGAGCCACAGCTCCCAGTCATTCCTGCAATCACCAGGGTGAGCCAGCCAGTAGTGTTCTATGTTGTACTATATCTTTATGTCAGTGTGGTTGGTAGTTTGATGTCTTAAATGGTTTTTTTAAAGAGTATTTTCAACTTACAATGGGTTTATTGGATATTAGCACATTGTAAATTGAGGTGTGTTTGTACATATAGGTCAATATCTTTCTTATACCTCCAGTTAAAAGGAAAATAACAAATAGAAAGAGAAATGTTTTTCCTCTGACCAGACACCACCATACTTTGACCCTCTGAGGTGTGGTGACAGTATGTGAGGACAGGCTGGTTTCTAGCACAGAAAGGGTGCCCTTCAAGAGCAGAATTATTCAGAGAGGAAGCAGAAACAGACAAAATGACATGCCCTCTGGACATGGCAAAGGTTTTGATACTTAGCAGAACTGGACACAGTGCTAGTGGGTTTGGTGGAAGGCAGCTTGCTGGGAACCCATAGTCAATGACTAAGTGTGCAGCCTTCAAGTGGGCTTTTATTGGCACAGTGGTTAAAGCAAGAGAGGAAGAGATGGTAGCTCCTATGGGAAAATGCCAAAACTTATTGCTGAGCATGTTTGACCTCACTGGACATAGCAGAAATAAACTGGTGACCATTTCAGGGAGCTGGACCTTCTGTAATAGCAGGTAGGTGGCAGAGAAGGTTAAATGCAGTTCTTTCTATCATGTGCCCATTACTAACCCTGGACTGGTAAGGCCTGGGAAACCGGGGCCAGAGAGTGAACATCCTGGAAAGACTCAGTAAGCACCCGGCCTCAGGCCTTCCCTCAGCTATTTGTTGACTGTGAGCTCATCGACTTGCTCCAAACTCTAATCCTTCCCAGCAGCTCACTGCTTACCTCTCCCAGCACATGCTGGCATCATTCCTCTTCCCAGAGAGCTGCCTAAGCATCTTCTGCTTTCGCTGCCCCACTTTGAGAGGCTGAGGGTGAGGTCAGAGTGTGGCTGGTGCATCAGCATTTGCACCGCTCCAGTAGCACTGTCAGCGCCTGAGCTTGCACTTCCCTGTCCACCTGAGGCCAGTGGCCTCTCCATAGCGGCTTCTGTGGACAGCATGCTCCTGATCTTCCACTTGGCCTGGACACCGCACAGACCAACTCTTTGAGGCCAGTTACAGTCCATCACTGAGCAGCTCTGTAGCTGATCATCCAGTTTTCCTATGTTAGCTATCGATCCCTACCTCACCTTCCCATCCCCTCTGCAGTCTGCACATACTTTTGGGTGTGTCAGTTCTAATTGGTACTTTCCCAGAAGAAGCACCTTGTGTAGGGTTGTGCTAGTCTGGTTTTCTCAAAGAGCAGAGCCTGAGACAGATAGTTTCTTTGGAGGGATGCTTTCAGGAAGCTAGAGTATTGGAAGTGAGTTGGAGAAGGAGGAAAGAAACCTATAAATAATATGCAACTGAACCCCTCACCACAGCAGGCACTTGAGGCTCTGTTCCCTGGGGAATGCTGAGGAGCACTGTGGGCCTGAACACAGTCCTTATGCATATCCAGGCCCTACAGTGTTTACCCATGAACTCTGGTGACTCAGAGTCCCTTTCACAGAGGGGCTGCTCAGGGAGTTCTGGCTCCTTCTATGTCTTGGATAAGGCTTAGTATTGGATAAGCGGTACAAGGCTGAGGAGAAAGACTTGAGGCCGGAAAGTAGAGTCCAGACTCCTGTGTCAGGAAGGGAGATGCACAAAAAGAATGGTCCCCTCATGTGCGCTATGATCGAGAGGACTTAACAGAGCCTCACAAACTACACAGTGTAAATCAGTCAGTGGTAGTTTTACAGGGTAATGTGCAAGACTTTAAAACTGATGACCTAAGCTGATTGTTTCAAAATGACCTCTAGATTTTGACCTACCCGTGTTATTCCTAATCCTCTTCTTACATTTGGGAGGGAAGTTGATCTGATTACCAACAATGACTTTTTTCAATGACATGTCATGGACTGGATGATTAATACTCTACCGATTACTGAGTTGTTCTGCTGAGATACCTTTGCATTGTTACCCTTTCTTCTCTAAGTTGATCAATGAATTGAGATACTCAGTCCAAAGCTAGACTGATTCATATGCACAATGCATATTTATGCAGTTTCTCTCCCGTGATTTCTTTCCTTTCAAGCACATAAGCAGCCTGTAGTTTTTTCCTTTGGAGAAGATTCCCCTTTGGTTTGAAAGCAGAGGAAGCTGGTATGGATTTCTGGCTTTTATTTTCTAAAATTCTAAGCCCTTAAGGGTTTAGAGGCTTTGCCAAGGAGATAAAAAGGCTTAGTGGACTTGAAGCATGTGTTAGAGAAGTTTTCCCATCCCTAGATGGGCAGGAGATTGGGTGGGAGGAGAAAGAAGTGAGTGATGACCCAGGAGTGCTGGGGGCCCAGGTCTGTTCTCCTTTAAGTGTTGCCCAGGATGAGATGTCTTCAGAATGGAATGGTTGGGTGATACATCCAATCCCTGCATCCAAGTCAGTAACTCGTGTTGACAGATGCCTGAGTCTCCCTCCCCATGGTGCTGCAGAACAAGATGAGATGTAAGGCTTTTGATGCAATTCTTTGGAAGGAGAAAGGAAATGAAGGGTAAGTTGAGGGTAAGTTTCCTGCCAGCATGGTGAGGCAGGGACTTAAAGTTCGTAATTATATTGGCTTATTCTGAATATGATGTTTTTGGACTTAGATACATATACCACACAGACATTTGTTGCATATTTACTATGTGACAGGCATTGTGTTTGACACTGACAATATAAATAGGGCTTAGATATAACCTCTTGCATCAATGGGGGGGGAATTTGATCAAGAAGGCAGATATGTAAGATGAATCAAATATA